ATCCTAAGAAGTCTTGTTTTACATGGAGCAATTATTCCTGGGTTTCCTCTTACAAATTAACACAAAACTTCTCCAGCTGATCCAACAGCCCTACAGTGGGTGTAAAATGGGTGAGTGAACTGCAGGGCACAGGTGCTGGCATGGTGGTGGTGCAGTGTTTCAGGCAGTACCCCAGCAGGCAGCAGGGCCCTCTGCCCAGCTGAGCTGTTGTTAAATGCATGTACCTGTCCAGGGTTCACGGGCCAGCAGCAAGGACAGAGCTCTGAAATACACATAGAAATAGATAGAATTTATATATATGTATCTGTAACTTTTTTATTTTCTGTCAGTGAAGCAGCTGTGTGTTTCCCTGGTGTGCTGAGACCCCAGGGGCCAGCCCGCAGTGTTTGTCCTTGTTTGCTGGGGCTGCGCGGGAGCCTGGGGGAGGCAGAAGCTGCTCGTGGGAAGGCTGGAGTGGACAGTTAAAATCAGAGCCCTGTGCTCAGGCCATGCTGCTATTCAGCCATCAGGAATGTGGGCTGGGCTCAGGCTGTGCCTTGCTGCCCCTCTCACACCCTCTCCCCCCTTGAAGAAACGTGCATCATTAACCATCTCAGGCCCTGAAATAAATTGGACAAAATACCTGCTTTCTGAGAGCCCAGCACAGCCTGTACACGCTTCAGAAGGCACAGCACATACCAAATGAAGTTAAGCCCTAAAACGCTGAATTATTTCTAAAGCTGTAGATATTTTATACATGCTTGTACTTAACAGATCCCTTCCACATAAGAAGGAGTGTGAAGGCTGGGAGAGTTAATCTAAACTCTGTAATACTGTACGGTTAAAAGCCTCTTTCATGTAACTGTGTTCATGAACTGAGCTTGGAATTCTTAAAAATCCAGATTATTACAAAGGAAGGGATTTGGTGTTTGGCAAATTGACAAAGCCTGCCATTCACTCACCTCATGTGCTGCTCAGCTTTACAGTGAGTCTCAGACAGGGCTCACAGCACAAGGGAGAGCCTGAAATGTGTCAGAGGCAATGAAAGAGAAATGCCTAAAGACTTCAGGTTCCGTTATCCAACCAGCTCCCATTTGAAAAGTTGCTTCTTTTTTTTGTGCCTCTGCCTTATTCTTACGATCAGATGTGGAAACAGTAAATATACAAACACAGGCAAATACATCTGGTAGAGATAAGGGTTGAATTATGACTACCTGACCAGATTTCACTTGTTGAACTTGTGAATTCAGAGGAATTGTGAAGGCATGACAGAGATGGAAAATTCAACAAAGATTTATTTCATTTATTAATTTTCTGATGTCCTCTTATAGGAAGGGATTGTTACACACAGCAAGATGTATTATTGCCTGCTTTAACCTTGCAAATGAGTAACATTTTGTAATTGTTCCTTCAAAATCAGAAAGTGAGAGATTAATAGTTTGCTATTTAATAAGATCAAGGGTTTTCTATGTATAAGGAGAGTAATTAAAACCATCTGCACTAAATGCATACCCAGATTCATCATCACTGATTTCTCTCCAAAGGAAAATCAAGGAATGGTATCGACAGCTTTCGAGCTTCTGTTGGAACCTGCAGACACTGACATAAGCTCAGCAGCCAAAGGAAAGAAAACAATGCTGTGTCTGCAATATGGCACATAGCTGATTCTATATTTTTTATCTCTGAAAATTTCCAGAGTTAGAGCTCCCGGAATTCAATATCCAGAAGCTAAAATGTCAGTCAGTTGTTTTTGTTTAAAGGTAGCTCATTTATCCTTGAAAAACAAACCTAGTGTCCTGATATGTCAAACTGGCAGCACCGTTGTGATGACAACTCGAGCAGCAGCTGCGTGTAGGGGTTGTGCCCTCTCATTAATTATGCCCAGGACCACCTTCCTCTGGGAGGGAAGAGTTTATCAGGCCTGTAGGGCAAGCAGGCAGGGTTTGCCCTGGCAGGTTAGCAACACTGGCCCTTCTTGCTTTGGGCATTGGGTGGTCAGGAGGAGCTGAGGAGGGACGGATGAGAGGACAGGAGCCAGCCAAGTGAGGAAGCAGAGGAATGACGAGGGGCCACCACAGCTGCAATAGGAGGGCAGAGGTAAGGTTGGCTGCAGAGTGGATGTGTAGACACATTTAGGTGCCTGAATGAAAGCAGGATGGTGGGGAGTGGGAGTGGCTCTATGTGGGGTGTGACAAGTACATGTTGTGGAGCTGCCATAGGACTGGAAAGAAACAGTTTTTGTTGGAAGTGAAGATCTTGGCTACAAAGCATTCCTAGTCTTGGTTGGCTTAGCTGGTGGTGTCAGCTGTTACCTAACCATGGGGGAGAATAAAAATTATAATAAAAAAGACCACAGCAAAAAGCTATGATCTTCCACCTTAAAAAACAAATCTGAGGATCTTGCTATAGTTTTCCAGCCTTTAGGATCTATAGTTCAGTTTTTCAGTAGAAAACTGAATATTTGTTGCTATTCAGCTCTAGGCATTGGTGTTATTAACCACAGTAAATGCAATTAATACAGTCTCTTGGGTTGTTGTATTTCATTAGTTGGTGGTGCTAAAAGGAAGACTTTGAGCTCTTTTGGAGAATCAGGGGAATAATGTGGTTAAACACAGAGCAAGGGACCCTCTTCTTTCTTCTCCCTCTTGGGTAAACAATGAATTTGTTCAGAGTTCCTAGTTGGGTTTTTAAATGCAGAATGATGTGGGTAATCAGCTTGGTTGCCATGGTGTTCCACCTTTGCATCTGATGGTGAGAAATGCAGGCTCTAACAGCACTGCACAAAGCTGCCGTGCCAGTACCATGGAAGTAAAACAAAGCTTTGTTTTATTGCAAGATACTGTGCAACGCTGTGGCCAGCAGCCTGCTCTGTGGCTGCTTGTGTGACATACACATGAAGTGAAAGTGAGTTGTCGTTAAAAAATAATCATGTAAGTCACATACACCGATGATCAAGTTTTTGCATAGTGCTGCTGAGGATCATCCAGCTACTTGCTTTAAATGAAAATGCTTTGGCACCAAGAGCTGTGTGTAACAATTCTCAGCCTCGTGAGATCCACTGAGCAGATCCTTATTACTTGGTGGCCTTGTCACAGACATCATTAAGACCTTACAGAAAGATTCTGCAAGTGTTCCTGGTCATGGGCAGGTGTCTGGGGCTGTGTAGGACCAGAGGCAGATAAGGAGAGCTGGTTTGCAGAGTGGACCATGCCTGTGGCTGCCCTCCCAGCACCCCTCACCTGCACCGTGACTGTTCTCAGTCTATTTGTGGCACTTGATAAATGGGGGTTCAAGCCTGCTTTTTTATTAAACATGGGGTTTAACAGTACAAAAGAAGGGCTAAAGGAGAGATTGCAAAGGCTCACACACTTACAAAGCTACATAAGCCACAGTTCTGTTTTGGTACTTGTCTGGGTTAGGTTCAATTTGAAACTGTTAAAATTCTGGTTTAGCTCTGTTGCATCGTGTGTAGGCCACAGTGCATACCTGTCAGGCTGAACAACACTTTGCTCTAACAAGCTCACCAATAGTTTAGCTGTGAAGTTCAAACTTTTGCAACACAGTGTAGGAAAAGATGAAGTTCTGTGATTCAACAAAGTAAATAATGCTGCCATAAGAATGCATATGACATGACTGAACACTTACTCATCTGTAATGCTGGAGCTTTGACAGAGGTGTCTTTTCCTGTGGGAGAGATGATTAGGCAGTGAGTACTAGCCTTGGGAAAATAGTGTTAGCTTCCTCTTCTAAGCCAGCTGCTTTCCCAAATAATTCTTCAGGCTAAAATTAATTGTATGTGGTGCCTTCTGCTGTGACTGCTCCTTCAAATGCTCTTGTTTGAGGGGGACTGGGATTTATTTTTGGCATTTACCTGTCTGCTTTATCCATGGTTGGTGTGGTTGTTTTACTGCACCCATCAGGGGTTTGACATTTAATCACTGGTCTTGTGTGTGGGGACCATGATGGATGCTCTGCTGTATTGGGATACTGCTTCTCTGTTCTCAGTCTGTCAATGAGCCTAAGTGTTCTGCTTCAGGAAAAATGTATGAGCAGCAGCACTCTGAGCGACTGCAGGGATAATTTTGAGATATCTCTGTGGAACAGTTAAACTAATGTAAGTGTTTACCAAACACCTCTCTGCAGACAGGTATAATTCCAGTTTCTGCAAAAGGGACTCCCCAGCTGCTTATTTGTGAGTGAAGGGGCTGGGTCCTTCCAACCTTTACCTGGAGTGTTGCCCTGCTTTCTGCACTGCTGTACTGGACAGCAGGGTAAAGAAGTTGTTGATGTGCAGTCAGGTATGCACTGTAGAAATCACAATCCTTTTTTTAGCATCTGAGTGGGATGTGTCTAAAGAAGAAAAATTGGGACCAAGGAAAACTTGAGCTCTCCTTAACAAAATGCACCATGTTTCATGTGGATAAAGCATTTAACATCTCAAACCCCTTTTCTCCCTTGGTAAAAAGTTGCCTGCTTCAACACTATGCCATTAGCCAGGTGAAATGCCATTCATCTCCCAAATCCAGTTTTTGTATTGAGGCGCTTCTGAGTTTCTCAACCTTTCTTTTCACAGCTGCTTTTTTACCAAATTCTGTTCATGCTCCCATTTAAAGACAGTCAGTTGACCAACTGCTCTGGGGAGAAAGGACTGGACTGAATTGTATAGTTTTTGAAATCGTTGTCAGCAAAAAATTTCTTTCTAGGACTTACTGTTTAGTGAAGTCTCAATTGTTTCTCGTTCTGGTATAAATGCCTGGTTTTCTACTCTCTTGATTTCACTGTAACTTGAAGCTTACAGATATTGATTTTTGGGGAGGGAATAGCTGTCTCTTCGTGCTTATGTCCTTTGAAAACCTTTAATGTACTTGAGAGCACCCTAGGTGCTCTCACCAGGTTAGCTGGTGGGTGCCACACACACTGTTCAGCAGCGTGACGGTGCTGCAGGTGTTACAGGGCTTTGACGAGACAAAGAATTACATAAACTTCTTGTCATAAAATAGTTACCGCTTTATTGGGGGTAAAAGAGGAAAGCTGACAGAGTCAGTGGGGCAGTGGCGGCGGTAGGTGAAGGCAGGCGATGCCGGGGGAGTCCTGGCGCGGGGGACGGGCAGACCCGCTCCCTCCCGCGGGCCGGGGCAGCTCAGCCCTCCCAGAAGCCGACGAAGAAGCTGCACAGAGAGTGCCACCGCTCGGCGCAGTAGGTCTCCGCGGGGTCCTCTGTGGGCTGCGGGGCAGGGGCCGGCGTGGCCGGGCCAGGGTCGGGTAGCAGGCGGAGCTGCGCCTCGGGCGGCGCCCGGCCCGGTCCGCACAGGCGGGCGCTGAGCGGCGCTCCCGGGGCGCAGGGATGGAGCCGCCGCCGCAGCCGGGACAGGATCTGCCGCCAGTACTGATGGCTGCGGGTGCCGTAGGCCGGGCAGCGCCGCGGCTCCCCGCGGTAGGTGCAGCTCCGCGCAGCCCCGCCGCCCGCAGCCCGGCAGCTCAGCAGCAGCTCGCTGGCCCCCGCGGCCGAGCGCAGCTCCCAGCGGCACCGCTGCTGCTCCGGCGTGGAGAACCGGCCCTCCTGCGCCTCTTCCCGGCTCTCCCCGACGGCGGCGGCGGCCCCCAGGGCGGCCAGGGCCAGCAGCGCCAGCGGCATCCTCATCCTCGGCGCCGCGGGAGCCTCCTCGGTGCCTCAGCGACGAGGAGTTCCGGCGCGGGCCCTGCCGTCCCGCCGCATCCTCCGCGCCCTGCGGACACACGGACCGTGCAGGGTGGTGCCCCCGCGGCTCCCACCCTCTGCCCGCCCCGCCGGAGCGCAGCTCCCGCGGTCGCCCCAGCCCGAGCCGGGCGCCCCAGCAGAGGGGCGCGGAGCGCGCTTGTCCCTCTAGGGAGGGGCTTTTAGCCATGGGGTTTTTAGCTTGTGTCCGTCCACCCTCCTGCTCCACTGACGGCCCGCCGATGGCTGCGAGGTCTCAGGGTCGCCCCGGCCGGGAAGCCGTGACGGGACTGCGCTGGCCGGGAGCTCGCACCCGCCGGCTGCGGCATCGCAGCTGCGAGGGTATCACTGCTGCCTCTCGGCTGCCAGACCCGCACTCGGGCAACCCCCTAAAGCTCCTTTTGCCCCGCACCCGGTTTCCCCCCACGCGCCCCGGTGTTCTCCGCGCTGTCCCGAGGCACTCACGGTGCGCTGTGGGCTGAGTGGCGGTGCGGGACAGGCGTGCGCGGCAGCTCCGCGCTCCGGGCTGCCCGCGGAGGGCCCGGCGCGGGGGTTATCAATGGCCGGGGACTGCCCCCACCGACGCCCCTCCCCGGCCACCGCCCGCGGGGGACAGCGTGGGGACACGCCAGCAGCCCTGTGCCCCGACGGCACCGGCTCGCGGGAGTTTCCCCAACACACATCCGTACAAACACACACACGCTTTGTTCGAGGAACCGGGACCCCGGTGCCTCAAAGCCATCCCGGGACTGCGGCACCCCTGGGAGATGGTGAGGGAGAGGATCCGGGGGCCGAGCCGGGCAGCAGCAGCTTGGCTGTGCGGGTATCTCCCCTCGGGGGCGGAGGGGAGAATGGTTGTGTGCCTGATGGACGAGAATCGATTTATTTGTTTTCCTTTGGAATTGATGGAGTTAAAAGGGATTCTCATTTCAGAAAGAAAATACCAGTTTGGAGTATTTAGGATGGTTACTTTTTGTTAATGAGGTGACAGTCTTCTCTACAGGGAGTGTTTTTAAAAAATACCAGAAGTTTTACGAGAATGTAGACACAAGTTTTATGTTACTGCACGTTTGGGGATGTGAGATCAGACCCCTGTTTCAGAAATCTCTCATTGGAGTTAGGCTCTCAAAATCCAAGTGCTTCAGATTCATGGGTGATGAACTTAGCACATCTGTTCCAAACCTGTTATTGCTCTGACAATTCACAACCCAAACCACTCTATGATGTGACTTAATGGAGGAAGGGGGCTAACTTACCTTTCTGTGCAATAAGTCCTAAAAATGAAAGACTTCTGCAGAGTCTAGGAGAATGACTGCTGGAGAAGAGGTAGGATATAGAGTCTATTCCCCAGTTCAGGGAAGGGAGGAGCATTTTCAGATAGATCTCCCATTTCCTAGCTGCATTGCATACTTGGAGCTCTCCCTAGTTGGTAGTTTGGAGTGGAGGGGAAATGGCAAGAGAGAGAGGATAATGAGAAGGAAATAAAATGGCTTAGGCAACAAACCATAGGAGAGGGTTTGCAACCAAGAATTGCGAGTGAAAGCTGGTATCTCCTTTTGGCCTGTAATTACGTAAAGAACCATCTCTGAAGGACAAGGCTTAGCTGACTGTTAGCTGTGTGTGGCTCCTTTCTCAGCGAGCTGGATTGTGTGTATTGCATTCATGGGTGCTGAGGACCCCCCATGGGCTGTAGGAGGAATCAAACTGAGGGCTGTGGGTACCATGAGGCATAAAGAACTGCATTGTGACTTTGAAACCCTCTGTGGCTTCAATGAGCACGTGGCATGTCATGTGCCTTAGCTTAGGAGTCTGCCAAACCCTAGAGTTGCTTTCAAATCAAGTTCTGACCACCTGTAATTACTATATATTATTACACTGAGATCTTTGTCTGTTTTCCACGTTCCACTGCTATCATTTATGCAGTGTGAAATGGAGTTGTCTAATATGTTTGAGATCACTTTTATAACAGTTTATTCTAATAATATCACTTTGGAGGAAAATATTACTGTGTTTTAATGAACATATTGCTATTATATTTTTGGACAGATTACATTAAATGTCTTACAAGTTATTACTCTTCAGGATTTAAGGAAAGAAAATAAAACAGAAGGAAACTTGTCTAGCCTTCCCATATAGTGATTAATCTTCCTTAATCTTCTTTGCCATGTTCTCTTCGTACCTATATTTACACACACATTTTCCTCCATGATTGTGACTCCTCTTTTGCAGTAAAGCAGATGTTAGTCTTTGATACTCATTGCTTCCATACTAATTTTCTTGCATAAACTACAATTTTATCTCCTTGATTTGATGGGGATATAGGGGGGGGGGGGGGGGGGGGGAGGGAAGGATCATTCTTACATTACTAAAATCACTGTATCCTTTTGTTCTTTGTTTACAGTTTAAATCTAGTTAGTCTGTGGTGTTGTTGTAGCTGGATTTTTACTGCTCTTTCCCTACTGTCCACCTCACCTTAGAAATAACATTTATAGCTCTAAAAGTCAGCTGACTATGAAGTTATTTTTGAAAATGTGATCAGTGTGCACTGTGGCAGATATTGTTGCCTTGTTTCTGCAGAGAGCCTGAATCAAATCCCTGAGGAGTTAATGGGCCTGTCTATCTAAGCAAATGACATTAAGAGTATGCTTACTATGTGAATCCTACAAGGAGACTAAACTGGAAGGAATTACAGATATACCGTGTTGGATGCAATTTGAACTCTAAAAATTCTAAAACAAATTCCAAGTTAAAGTAAACGCTCATAGGACCAGTCTAAAACGTGCGATTCAGTTCAATAGAGAGAAGTGCAAGGCACAGGTCTAAAACACCTGCACAAATTCAAGATGATGGATGTTGACTGAATAATGTGTCACAGAAAAGCATGCACTGTATGGGATTCACTGCAACTGAATGTGAGGCAACAGTTGTCCTGCAACTGCAAAAAAGGCAAACACATAAATAAGGATCTCACCTATAAGACACAGGAAGTAAGGCATTGGCTAAAACCAGGCTTTGGGCGGGTAATTGTATTCAGTTTAAGCTTTACTCTTCAAAAAAAAAAAATTAAGATCAACTGAATTGAGTCTGTAAAAGAACACTGAGAGAATCGCAGACCTAGAAAACTTGATTTGTAATGAAGTGATTTAAACAATGGGCTTGTTAACCTAACAAAGAGAAGAACTAAGTAGGCAAATATGGCAATAGTAAAAATTGAATCTATTATCTAATTAACTCTATTTATGCATTTTTTAATTTTAGAAGTTCAGATCATACCCTTAATCACACTTTTCATTAGCCAATAAATGAATTATCCTGTTAATTTTTAACTCTGAATTGAAAAACTTATATTCTGTATTTATAGGCCACTTCATTCACATTGAAGACATTGCCCAGGAAACTGTGTTAGGGCTTTGACTTCAGAGTTTTGATCTTTAAAAGTTCAGTTGAATTAACTATTTGTATTTTATAAAAACTCCAGTCATTATGAAAAATAATATGTATTTCTCTTACTCCAGTCCCTAGGATTGCAGCAGCAGCTGTGAATGATTGCAAGAACAGTGTTGCTTTACAAGTGGAAAGTAATCAGTCTCCAGCCCTGTCATTTATAAACTCCTTTTCAGAGAAGTGGGTAGGGTAAACAATGTTGATGATTCATAAACCTAAATTGTTTAAAATATACAAGACCATGGCTGTGTTTAAGCTACTTGTTTGAGTTATCAATCTTCCAATTTCTTGTTACTGGCTCAAGAGAATAACATCATATTTAGCTTGTCTACAGATTGACCTTCTCAATTACCTGGTTTTGTTTGGAGCAAGCCAAGCTCTGCATGGTATAAAAGACAAAAATCGGTGGCTGAAGAGCCATGAAGAGACATGTATTTCAGTTTGGTCATGAAGCAAAATGAAATATTATCTTACACTGGGAAGGTGCCCAACAGTCCCATTCATCTCTGCTGGCCACCTCAGAAATTCAATCCCTTAAGGGTATCATGTATTTACTGGCTTTACTGGTAAAGTGCTTGTCTAGTTATGCTGAAGGATCTTCTGTGTGCAGACAGCTGTGAGGTCCCTTGCTCTGAGCTAGAGCACTGCAAGGCAAAGCTGTGAAGCATTTTTTATTCTCCTTCCATCACAAGCTGGCAAATAAGCATGACTACTGAAGAGTTTTGTAAAATTATGTACAGGTTCATTTACTGTTACACCTTTGACTTGCAGACAGCTGAAATTCTAGGGTCTGTGCCCTGTCCCAAATTGTATAGAAGGAACAAAGTGTAAAAAGAATTTTTCCCTTTCTGAAGTCTCTCCTAGATACACTTTAGGCACTTTTCTACAGTCAGACTGATGCCTTTGTCCAGTTTTTGACATGTTTTTGTGTTGATTCTTTCTTTCTTTGCCAGTAAACTTGTACTGAAGTTCAACACAACCTTTCATTTGAAAGATAGCTTTTTGCAAAATGATAGAAAACTTAAAGAAACTGCATAGTATTGATCAGGGGATTTATAAATCAATTTCTTACACTGCAGAATTGGTTTGAAATTATCCATGTGCCCATCCTACAGTCAACAGATCGTTGACTGAATGCGCTCTTGGAAGCCAGGGCATAGCAGGGTGCTTCAGAATCATCCCAGAATACATTTTCTCCTCAATTCATTTGCTTTAACAAAAAATATTCCACATATGTTTCCACCATCTTTACCGTCTCACATTCCCTGCAGGCTTTTTCACAAGCTGGTCTGAGTCATTTGCCTTGTGTTCTCCAAGGCTGTGTTTTCCCACTGGAGTTCAGGAAATAGTGAATTAAGTTTTTAGTACTGGTTCTTTTTGCTCCGTAGGAACCACTTTGTTCCTTGCACCACGTATATATTTCTTTCTTTAATTGATTTGTATATTCTCAACTCAGACTGCTGTATTTCTGATTAGAGATGCATATTTGCATATTAATTTTTCTAAGTATGCAATTTTTCATATTTAAAATGGCACCTCTTAAATGTTTATTTCTGTAATCTGCTTTCCACTGTGAGGATGTTGCTTTGTCTGTCATGTAAAGGTTACTATGCTTGCTTTTTACCTTCATCAAACAAACCTTTTCACTTTACCAAACAAACTCAGGAAGTTTTTAATTTTTGCTTCTTAAATGTTTCTCAAAGAGTCATTGTAGTCTATGTTCACAGAGAACCCATATGACTGACCACTATTTCCTACCTTTGTTCTTCCCTGTGTAATTAATGGGCTGATCTCAGCTTTGACAATGCCCCTTGTTGAGCTGGGTATGGGAGCTGCTAGAACATCCCTACCACTCCAGGCTTTTCTATCGACTGATCATAATCGC